TGTGTGTGTGTGTGTGTGTGTGTGTGTGTGTGTGTGTGTGTGTGTGTAGAGAAGCTAAAAGAGGACAATAAGCCCATCACTCTATGAGGCAGGGTCTCTTGAACCTGGGACTTGCTCTCAGCTAAGCTAGAAACCAGCAAACCACTGTGTTCTTCCTGTCTCTGCCCTCATCAGAGCTGGGGTTACAGGAAATGGCAAGGTGCCCAACTTGTTATGTGGGTGCTGGGATCCTACCCCATGATTGTAGAGTAAGTGCCCTTTAAAGCTGAGCCATTTCTGCTACCCCCCAAAACAGAATTTTAAATCTAGGTGTTGGGTAAGATGCTGGTAAGAAACACTATTGATATACCTGCTCAGTGACACAACATAAGACAAAATAGCCCAGAGAGAGGATATCAGTGATTTTGGATTATTAGGCATTGATTGAGCACTTACTGTATACCTTGATGCAGAACTTAGTATACTTTAACTCATTTGAACTTCACAGTGACCCTGTGCCGTCTAGTTTTATGTCAACTTGACATAAGCTGAAGTCACCGAGAGAAGGGAGCATCAATTGAGAAAATGCCTCCATAAGATAGGGCTGTAGGCAAGCCTGTGGAGAATTTTCTTCATTAATGATTAACATGGGAGGGCCCAGTCTATTACAGAGGGGGCCTTCCCCGGGCTGGTGGTCCTAGGTTCTATAAGAAAGCAGGCTGAGCAAGCCAGTAAGCAGCACTCTTCCATGGCCTCCGCAGCAGCACCTGCCTCCAGATTCCTGCTCTATTTGAATTCCATTTTGGCTTCTTTCAGTGGACTCTGTGTTAGGAGAGGGAAGCCAAATACACCCTTTCATCCCCAAGTTGCTTCAGGCGTGGTGCTTTGCCACAGAATCAGTAACCCTGAGACAGACCCCCTTTCAAAGTCATTTCAGTCACTCCCTTTTTATAAAGGAGGAACTTTATTCTCAAGAAGTGAAATCACTTCCCCGAGGTCATTGATGGGATTTGAACGTGGATGTCTGGTTCTGTGACTCTACCTGTAACTAGACCACGCTAACTGATTGACGCTTTAAAAGGCAAACACTGAAATAACTGAAAGTTACGAGCAATTGATAACAGATAGTAATGCATGGAACACTGAGTATCACCCTTGAAAGGTACAGAAATGTCCACTGGATTCATTAACCTACCTTCAGATGTCTTGATACATTGGAAAATTTCTTGGGCTGGTGAGACTGCTTAGTAGAATGTGGTGGGCCTGAATTCCATCCCTGAGTCCCACTTGCAAGTTGTCCTCTGAGCTCTACATGTACGAATGCCGCATATACAAACCGCATATACACGATATACATGTGCCTACACAGTAATATAAATAAAGGTGATTTGAATATTTTTAATATTACTTCATTAGCCTAGACAAAGCTATAGATATCAAACTCATACAGCCATTCATTTGTTTTTCATCAGATTTTCATTGCCTGCTGAGGACTGAACATTGTTGCTATGCAAGAGCCTTTGGTCATACTCTGCCTATCAATAATAACCAAGTGTGTGTGTGCGTGTGTGTGTGTGTGTGTGTGTGTGTGTGTGCGTGTGTGTGCGCGCGCGCGTGCACTTCTGTTTGTAGCCCATCAGCAAGCTCCTTGCAGTTTTCTGGGAGTGTACACTACACTTTAAAAAAATTGTCCCACCAGGCCAATGCCAGAAACCACAGTCCAAACACCAAAACCACCAAGACCCAAATGGCACCCGATATCTTCTTCTTTCTTACCCCATTTCTAAAAAGCCAGGATTTCGAAGCCCTTGAACTGATCTGTTTGTCTGCTTTTAGCAGGCCAAGCGGGAAACTCCATGGGGAGACTTTCCGGGACTAATGCCCTCTGCAATTCTCTTTCAGATCATATATTTTACAAATTCCAGCCTTCTGTGGTTGCTGCAGCCTGTGTTGGGGCCTCCAGGATCTGCCTTCAGCTCTCTCCCTACTGGACCAGAGACTTGCAAAGGGTCTCAAGCTACTCCCTGGAGCATCTCAGCACGTGCATAGAAATCCTGCTGGTGTAAGTCCTCTCCTGGTTGGCTAAGTTCCTGAGATATTCACCTTCTATTTGCCCCACTTAGGTCAGCTGGTATTTTCTGAGTCTGGGACAGATGGACGTTCTCCCCCAGATAAGGTATTGCATGTAAAATGAGCAGAGTGACTCCTGACAGAAGTAATATTTGAAAAATGGGGTATGGTGCTTTGCAACTGTAGTCTTCACACGTGGGAAGCTGAAGCAGGATTGAGAGCTGGAGACCAGCCTAGGATAAATAGAAAGAATGAGGCTTGGAGAGTTGGTTGTTTCTCTTTGTGGTTTTAAGATTGGAGAGAGAGGGGAAAAAGGCGTGAGGCCGGGGACACCTACTCCTACATGTATAGAGTCATTCTACCATTTTATTTTGTTATTCAGACAGGGTATCATATAGCCCAGGCTAACCTCAATCTCACTATGTAGACAGAGAGATATCCTTTAACTTCCAGTCTTCCTGCCCCTTGCTCCGGAGTGCTGGTGCCACCACACCCAGTTGATTTAGTGCCGGGGTCAAACTTCATGCATGCTAGGCAAGTACTCTATCACCTGAACTCCATCCTATCTGGGCCAATCGACCTAAGTGCCAGCATGATTTTGTGAATGGTTATGAATTCATTCTCTCACGGGCTTCTTTTTCTCAGGCAAGCTGCAGAGTGGACCACTTAGCCAACCATATCCGGAGTGGCTTCAACTAAGAGGTCACAGCTTCCTTTAAAGGGTCAAGGGTCATCTTAGCTCTACCTGTGCAATAGAGATTGGCAGCTAAAGAGTCTGTAATGGCTGCCAGGAGGGGGACAGAACAGCCCTTGAGTGGCTGTCCCCAGTCAACTCCCTCTTCCACCTATCAGGTGGTGACAACCCCTAAGTGTTGGCCTGACTGACCAGGGTCTGGGTGGCAGAAGCAGAAGTCATTCAAATCCCCAAAGAGCTCAATGAACCCCAAGAACCCTAGCTCTCAGTGTCCCAATGCCAGAAGTCCCCAAGTCAAGCCGGGCAGTGGTGATATGCACCTTGGATCCCAGTACTTAGGAGGCAGAGGCAGGTGGACCTCTGGGTTGGAGGCCAGCCTGCTCTACAGAGAGAGTTCCAAGACAGCAAAACCCTGTCTCAAAACACAAAACAAAACTAAACAAAACAAAAGGTCCCCAAGTTTAGAACTTAGCCTGTTTTGATGGCTACTCCAATATCAGCCAGCAGGCCAGCCCTGCTTGTCATTGCTGGCTGTCTCCTTGGGAAATCCTTGTTCAAATAAGTTGCAGACACCATCAGCTTCTTTCTTACAAATGCCTCTAATTGCTTTTACTGTCTCAAAACTGGTTTGTTTGAGATGGGAAAAAAATAACAACAAAACGCCTACTGTGTTCCCCTTTTCAAATGAAGCCTTTCAGACCCTCAATGGACAATTTGCTTGGTATCCGCTAGCTAAAGGCTTGCCCAGGTGGGGTTAGAGCTGGACCAGAAGAACCTAGGAAGTAGCAGTGGTACTGTACCAAGTACTGGCATGCAGGAGTGAAGCAGGTGGGACCCAAATCACCTTCTGGGGCTTTAGCAGCCAAGACGTCTGGGTACCGGGGCTGCAGGGACAAGTTTGGCTGATCTTGCACAGGACTCGGAGAGGTTCTGTGACAGAAGCAGCTCCACGCTGAGACCTGAGGCCTGAGCCTAGTCACCGAACAGCTGAGGCTGTGTTGTAGTTTGCCCTCATAGACTGGTGTGGCCCTGGGCACAGCTCTCCCACTCCTGCTTACTGAGGAAGATTAGCAGGTGTCTAGTGACCTTTGATCGCCGAGACTCACTTGAGCCTTTTTCTTTCAGAGCATATGACAATGTCCTCAAGGATGCTGTTGCAGTCAAGAGCCAGTCACTGGCCATGGTGCCCAGCACGTCATCAGCTCCCACCCAAGTGCTGTTCCAACCACCCACCTACCCTACTCTCAGCCAGCCACCGCCAACAACACTAGCACAGTTCCAGAGTCCAGCGCAGGACCTGTGCTTGGCATATCGGGACTCATTGCAGGCCCACCGCTCAGGGACCCTGCTCTCAGGGGACACTGGTCCTTCCCTTCACACCCCCTACTCAACCCTCCAGCCCTTGGATATGTGTCCTGTGCCCGTGCCTGCATCCCTTAGCATGCAGATGGCCATTGCGTCTGAACCCAGGCACTGCCTTACCGCCAGCTACGGAAGCAGCTACTTCAGCGGGAGCCATATGTTCCCCACAGGTTGTTTTGACAGCTAGGTCCACATTTGGACCACAAGGAGAATCTTGGAAGACCCAGACCAAGGAAGTGAACACCTAAGAGCAGAGCTCAGCCAGGTGAGGCAAAGAAAGAACCTCATCCCCTTCATTAGAGAGCAACAGTGCTCTTTATAAAAACAAACAAAACAACACAACCCAGAGCCAAACATCCAGGAGCATACCTCACCCAACAGCATCTCTCTGGGAAACTTCTTCCACGTGTGCCTGGAGGACAAGGACATGGCTCTGTGGCCATCGCCTTGAACTGGGGGATCCCATGGACCACATCAGACTTGGTAAGAGACTTGAACATTGAGGACTGCCTGCAGAGCAATAGCACATCCGGGCTTTTCAAAGACTACTTTTCACAGTGATGCCCCTGAAAAAGACGCACCTGGCACGTCCTCTGTATCCCTACAAGATCCATCCCAAGCGTTTTTCTCTCCCTAGCTCCACATCAAGGGTCCTGTGGCCCATGTTTATGCCTGAGAACTGGGCCCCGGAGGCCCAGTGAGTGGCTATTTTGCCCTTTGTCTTTGAACCTTTTCTCATCCTTCTGGATATTTCACACGCTGCTGCTTCCTGGAACAATCTAGCTTTTGTATCGTGCAAAAACATCATGTTTACATACTGTGTCAGGGATTTTATGATACTTGAAAATTCCGTAGGGGACAAAAAAAAAAAAAAAAAGTTTGAATCACTACACTGTCTGTTCCACATGAGGCTGTATCTTTTATTAACCCAACTTGGGACTGATGGGTGGGTAACCAGCACCTCCCAGGCTCTCTGGCTCTGGAAGAGTGCGCCCCTGTGCGGGATGCTGGTGTTGTTCACCTGTTGAACTCAGATCACTGCCCCCTAGTGGGGGGACATCACTGAGAGGAAGACGAAGGTTTGAACCGATCCACACTTGCCCTCCACCACATGCTTATAGTGCTAAGGTTAAACTGGCCCCAGTTTTTAGTTTGGCCAATAGTAAAGGGTAATAGTACTGTGGAATAGTAGAGAAGTGGAGGGAGGAACATGGTATGACTCCAGCATTGACTGGCAAGGGATTGCTGGAGCAAAAGCCAGTGTGTCTAGGATCTGCAGTGCGAGGGCTCAGGAAGACTGTCCCCATGTGCAATATATTATGACTCTGACTCATAGCCTGTGCTTATGATGTTTTTGTGGGTTTTTTTTTTCTTATTGTCAGGGGACATGCTGTTCACCCTTCAGAATTGGGAGGGAGGTGCAAAAGACCACAGGAACAAACTTCAGTTTTGTTTTTGAAACAATTGCCCTGTTTGTTTGTTTGTTTCTTTCTTTCTTTCTTTCTTTTTGGGGGTGTGACTTTTTTTTTTGAGATAGGTCCAATGTGTCTAAGGCTAGCCTCAAACTTCGTATGTAGCCAAGGCTGGCCTTGAGCTCCTGATCCTCCTGCTTCAGCCTCCCATGTATGTCACCACACCTTGCCTCCCATCTTGGTTCTCTTTGACTCATTTGCCATCCAAGAGGCCACAGCAGGGCCTTCCGAGAAGGTGGCCACAAGCTGCTGAGTTGGATTTGATGGTGATAGGGCTTTTCTGAGTGGATGGATGTCTCATGGAAACAGAACAAGAAAAGAGCTGGATGCAGATGAGGCGCTGCCATTTTGTCAGTTAGCATAGGAACCTGCACATTCGTTTGTTTTTTTTTTTTTTTTGTTTTGCATTTTGGCTCCTGTCCCTCCACCTCCTTTACCAGCCTCTTTGTATTTATGTGCAGCTGGTTTTGGGGTCCGAGTTATTGTACCTGTCTGTTCTGTGCCGGGGTTTGTTTGTGAGAAGCATCCCCATTGGAGTTCCGGAGCTAGCCTGATTCCCAGAACCAGGTGTCCTGCAATAAACATATCACATGCTCTCGGTCTCTCTCTTCTTTGGCTATTTCTTTGCAGGCCAGCCCTTCCCCACCTCTCTTTAGTCTACCTCAGTGGGATTCTCCTTCAGGTGAGAGGTAAAAGAGTTCCTTCGGGCGAGAGATAAAAGAGTTCATGGGGTTTATTAGCTTTCTCATTGCTGAGACAAAACGACCCAACAGAACACCCTAAAGGAGAAAAATGTTTATTTCAGCTCATAGTTTGAGAAAGCAGTCCAATGTGGCAGCAAGAATAGCTTGTGACATCCATGGCAGGAGTAGGAGGCTACTTGTTCAGGTGCCTATGGGTCAGGAGCAGAGATGGGGGCTGTCAACATCAAGGCTGGTCCCTAGAGGTACACACTGCCTAGCTAGGTCTTAACTCCAGAACGTTCTACAGCCTCCCAAGACGAGGCCACCAGCTGAGGACCAGGTTTTCAGATACATCAGTCTGTGAGGGACTCATGTTACAACATTGGAGCTGTCAACAGCAAAACCACCTCCTCTGGACCTGGGTCCTTCACTCTTAGCAGGAACTGGGCTTCCTTTGGCAGAAGCCCAAAGGAAGAGGCCTGACCTCCTATCTCTACTTCTGCATCAACCATCTCTCTCTAGAAGCAAGCCAATAATAGATTTGCTGCAAGGAACTGACTCGTGCAACCATGGAAGCTGGCAAAGCCAGAATTTTCAGAGTGCTTGCCAGCAGGTAAGAGCTACTATGATTTAGCAGAGAAGTTTAAACTTTGCAGGGTTGGCCACCAAGCCAGGAACTTGGGTAATTTCTTTGTTGCAATCTTGAGGCAACATTTCTTTTCTGGGGAACTTTAACCAGTGCTCTTAAGGCCTTTAGCTGGTTGGATTGGACATACTCACCTGCTGCTCATGAAGTCACACATCTAAAAAAAAAATCACATCTGGAAAAAAAAATCACCACAGCGACACCTAGACTAGTTTTTCATTAAATGACTGAGCACCATAGCTTCACAGAGTGAATCCACATAATTACCTCACCTGGTGGGGGGTCATGATCAACAATACAATGTGCATCGAGGCCAGTATCTTTAAAATGAGCAGTGGTTGCTATACTGCTCCTCAAACAGAAGATGAACTGTTCCTTGTCGTAATAATAAAGGCTTTTTGTTTACCCAGGCTGTTCTTGAACACCTGGGTTCAACTGACCTTCCCATCTTGGCCTCCCAGGTAGCAAAGACAGATGCAGGAGGACACCACCTGGCTAAGAAACCTTTCAAGGGTTAGAATCTAGCCCAGATGCGTCCTTGGCTAGCATGCACAGAGATCTGGTTGCAGCCCCTCGCACCGCAGAAGGTGAAAAGGACAGAGAGAGAAAAAAGAAAGGGAAAACAAGGGGCTGAGGAGATGGCTGAATGGGTAAGGTGCTTGCCTTACAAGGGTGAAAACCTGAGGTCAGAGGTCAAGTGCCCAGAACACACATCTTTATGTGCCAGGTACAGTATTGTACGTCTGTAGTCTCAGCACTTGTACAGCAAGATTGGCTGTTGGAGATGAGACTCTCCAAGTGCTCTAGCCTGGCATACGCAGCAGCAAATAAGGAGAGAGCTAGTCTCAAGCAAGACCAGTGTTGAAAGTTACCCTCTGACCTCCATACATGCCATACAACACATACATCACACACAAAAGGTTTTTAAAAGGTAAAACAAGCCATCCATGGTGCTCTGTGCCTGCAATCTTGTCACTCTGTGGGATCAGCAGGCAGATTGTGACTTTAAGGCGAACCTGAGCTACACAGTGAGACCCTAGTCCAAAACTACAGTGTATGTAGCTTCCACTGTGGTGGGGAACACCGAAGTCCACTCCTCCCAAGCCCTCTGTCCTCCAGGAAAACCATCATGACAGCTGCTATCATGCAGGGTTAAGGGGTATTCACCCGGCACCTATGCCTTGCTGGGTGAAATTTTCAGCATGAAGATTAAGACCAGACTGAGAAGGGCATTTGGGGACCATGTCTGTTGGTAAAGACAGCTCATACCCGCTATATACAAGAGCTATTGAGGCAGGGGGCTCTATGTTTGGGGGGCACTCGGAACAAATTAATTGAGTTTACGAAGAGCAATGAATTCTCTTTGGACACTTCTTTTCCTGTAGCTTTACTCTTCATCCGTTACCATGGAGACCACTGAACTTTTGGCCTGGTATGAGCTCTAGGCAAAGCTGAGCCTCATAGTTCAGAGTCACAGCCCCAGCCTTTAAACACAGAGATCACACTGATTTCTTCCAGACATGAGTACTCTGTTTACAATGTGGCCATGCCAGGTCATGGACTAGAAAAGGTTAAAAAGTGGAGATGGCCAGGCATGGTCACACACACACACACACACACACACACACACACACACCTTTAATCCCAGCAGGCAGGCTAACCTTCGGGTCTGAAGCCAGCCTAGTCTACACAGTACCAGGGCTATAGAACTGGACCCTGTCTGAAAACAAAAACAACAAAAAGGGAACACAAAGAATTGGGAACATTGGGAACACAAAGAATATATGGTGATATCCAGGGCATGGGGGGGGGTGTTTAAAAAGCTGGATATAAATAAAAAACATCACACACCAAAAATTTTTTAAAAATTGAATGCCAATTCTAACTACGCATTCATTAAGTTGTATAGTCTTTGGATATGGTTCATTTATTTTTGAGATAGAGTCTCTCCATGAGCCTGAGGGTCACTGGCTCATCTATGTCAACTTAACCATCCGCTTTTGGGGATTGACCTATTTCTATCCACCTAGCACTGGGCTTATTGGCGTATGCCAGCATCCCTGGGTTTTTGGGTTCTTTGGGGATATGAACTCAGGTTCTCATACTTTCCAGATAGCCACTTTACCAACTATGCTTCCCAACCTTCTTCTCTTCTGTCTCCTGTCCTCTGTCCCTCCCCCTTCTCCCTCCTTCCTTCTCTTCCTCTCTTGGCTCTCTCTCCATCCTCCCCCCTCCCTCTTACAATTTTCAGCCTAATTATGGTTAACTCTGTTATTCAACAGCTTACTGACTGTCCAAGTCCACTATGAGTAATTATTCAGTCGGGAGGGGAAATAGCAATACTGCTCCTTTAATTTAATGCTTACCTAGTTCACTTAATTAGCAATAAGTCTAGGCAAAATGATGGAATTCATGGGGTCCTGGCTGCTGGCTTCGTGGATGGGAAACTCTGCACACTGATCCTGAAAAGATGGGCAGAGTCTTGGTAGAGCAAGGAAAGAGGCCGGGGATGCTGCCAGTGAACTGGGTAAAACATCTATCCAAGCCAAGGAAGGCCTGTAAGCAAAAGACTAAGTGATGACATGAGATTACATGAAGGGGGAAGCACGTTAAGGTGTGGGGGACTGGACGCACGGCCTCATTCTCTGGGTTGGGCAAATTCTCTGCCTCTGGGGTTCCTCTCAGTCCTCTTTGTACTTTTTATTTTTAGCTAGGGTCACACTAAGTTATCCAGGCTAGCCTTGAACTCATTCTAGCCCCAGATGACTTCAGACTCGCTCAGTAGTCTGTTATCAGTGGTTCCCAATCTGTGAGTCATGACCCCTTTGGGAGGGGGTCAAATGTCAGATATCCTACATAACAGATATTTACATTACGATTCATTAACAGCAGCAAAGATACGATTATAAGGTAGCAACAAATAATTTTATGATTGGGGGTCACCACAACAGAGGAACTGCATTAAAGGGTCGTAGCATTAGGAATGCTGAGAACCACTGGTCTGTATAGTCTTTGTACTTGCAATCCTCCTGCCTCAACTTCCTAAGTACCTGGGAGGAAAGGAGTGTGCCACAAGACCTGGATGATAATTCATCTCTTATGTAGGAACACATCCTCTCCCAAGAAGGTTTGTGCCATTTCACTGCATCAGGAGCAACCATTCCAGCAGGGTGCTGGGATGCCCCTATCTCTTTTTTTTTTTTTTCTTCACAAATGAGGCAGTGGCTCAGGGCTGGGGACAAGTAACAGAATCCAGCTTGCAAGTCAACATCACTCATCTTCGACCTTTTAACAGTTTTGTCTTACCACTGGCAAATGAGCTTGAGTTTCCACATAGAAAAGAGACCTCAAGTTTCCATCACAATAAAAATAAGTGATTCTTCATTAAAAAAAAAAAAAAAAAAAAAAAACTATTGTGTGAAAAGAAGTCGAGTGAATACGCAGATGTGGCAAGCACTCCAGAGGAAAAAGAAAATGGAAACAGGCCTGCTTTATGGTCTGGGTTAGGCCCATTGTAGGGAGGGACCAGCAGGCTACCTGCTCTGCTCCAGTCCTAGACAGACCCAGTTGCCTTTCAGTAGACACAAACCAGATGCTAAGAATCCTACTTCAGAATCCTTCTCACCCACCGCTGAGTGATCGGCCTCCTGACCATGATTCCCAGCACTTCCTCCCAGGCTCCAGTCCAAGACATGTGGGAAAGTCCATCTTGCCATGTCTATGAACTTTTGCTGAATCATAGACTGCCGTTTCCTTCCAGGCCTTGTTGGTCCTCAAGGCCCCTTTTGCAACCAGTGGACGTGCTGGGGCCAGGGGACAACAGTTCCACAGCCAAAGGTGTAACTGCCACCCCCATCTTCCTACCAAGAGCCAGGTAAGGCTTGTCCTGTGTTGAAAAATCATGTCACCCTTCTCAGACAAGTGCATCTGTTGATAAAAATTCCTTCCAAGGGGAAACCTAAGCTATGCTTACCCCTTCTCCTAAGGTCCCGACAACAAACCAAGGCTCCGCTCTGCCAAAGTCCACTCCGGGGAACCAGTGAGTTTCCTGTGTTCCCTCTCAGAGCACAGGTGAGGAGTTATGAGGTGTGGGTGCTCCTCCCCCAACAGGCTGCACCTGGACAGCCTTACCCAGCTGAGATAAGGGCTTCACTGTAGCCTCATAGATAGAGCCTTCCTCCTCCAGTCTTCCTGGATCTATATCCTCTAGCTCCTCCCTGGAGCCATAGGCAACAACAGGTGGTAGGGATAGGAGGGTCCCATGACCCCACCACCACCCCTTCCATGAGGGGGTGTAAGCGGTCAACAAGCCCAGCTGGGATAATCCTTCTGCACACGGGCACAGCTGAACTCCCCAACATTGCCACTGTTCGTTTGCCTTAGAGGATAGTCACGCATTCAAGTGTCCTCGCGTACGTGTGTGCGGATCTGTGTGTGAGGTAGGTGCGTGTGCGTGACAGCCACAGGAAGACACGGGTGTGCTGCTCCTACAAACAATGTGGTGGCAGATCGTACAAGGTGTCCGCAGATCTGTGCCACTACGCTCTGCCTGTGGCCCCTCGGAAGGATGGGGAGCACTGCGCTCTGCGCTCCACATTCACACCTCCCTCTGCCATGGTAGGACCCTCAGCATCTCGGGGCCAGCGTTTGGCCTGGGCAGTCTTTCCTTAGACGCCTTCCAATTCCCATTCAGCCAGAGGCTGCCCAAAGACCCCAGCAAACAGAAACAAAGAAACTCTGGAGCCAGCGGCGGTCATTCACAGAGCACTTTTATTGGTGGGTAGTAGCCCCTCGGAGCCCAGCCTGGTGGCTCAGGCCAGCCTCTTGCTTACGCGCTCATAGGTCACGTCCCCGATGGTGAAGATCTGAAAGAAGCAACCAGAAGAGAGGAGAGTCAGTGGCCTCCCTCAGGCAGTGGCCCTGAGGTGGTCATGAGGTACAGCTGCAGGACGGCCAGGCACCATTGCCATTACCGGGTGGACTCAAGGCAGGTGCACTGCTTTCTGGCACTTAGTTTCCCTGTCAGTTACAGGAGTCACTGCAGGGAAAAATGTGATAAAATACTGAACAGGTGCAAGCGTGGTGGGCTGCAAGTGTGTTAACCCCTAATCCGTCACTGCTCCCTTCGACTGTTGACTATTGACTTTTCACATTATTCTGTCTATAATTCCCAAGAGCCCCAGGTGGTTGTTCCCATTACACAGAGGAACAAACTGAGGGTCGGTTCAGTGTGTGAAGATTAAGTCTTGTGGACACAAACCTACTCCATGTCTCCTGCTCTCAGCTCCTTCTGCACACTCAGGCCTGGGAACTTTGCTTTGGCAGTCAGGACTGACGTTTCATGGAAAACATGTTCAAAGCCCTTATCTAATCTTCCAAAGAGCTGGTTTTCACCCAGAGCAGAACCGTACTAACTTTTATTCTTCTCGAATGTGTGGTTGGTAACAGCATGCACGTGGAGGTCAGACGACAGCTTACAGGAGTTAGTTTTCTCTTTCCTTCATGCAGGCCCCAAGAGCTAAACTCAGTTCCTCAGGCTTGGCAGCAAGCACCTTTATCCTTTGGCCACCTTTGTCATTTTTAGTTTCTCTTTTCAACACTGCTTCATCAATTTTCTAATTCTTATTGAATTTTGGCAGTACTATGGTTAAGCCTAGGACCTCATGCAGGTAAGGAAGCCCTTTCCACTAAAGTACATCCCCTGGCTTGCCTCTCTCTCTCTCTCTCTCCCCGTGTGTGTGTGTGTGTGTGTGTGTGTGTGTGTGTGTGTTTATGATTTGGAGGAGATCACTGTCTCTAGTCCAGCTGACCTGGAACTCAAGATCCTCCTTCTTTGGCCCCGAGAGCATTGGGATTATAGACATTTGCCACCATGACCAGATGTATTTTAATTCCACAGGAAAGAAAACAGGGCAGGGTAGCAGAGCCCCATTGGTCTTCGAGAAGACTTCCTGTAGAAATCAGCTGAGACAGTCTGCCTCCACAATGTACTAGCTGTGTGATCTTAGGCGAGCCACATGCCGTCTCTGAACCTCATAAAGCACCTCTCCAAAATAGAAATAACAGGAAACTGTCTGCACACTCACCTCCACCAACTTGTCACCCACAATCTCCGAAGTCTGGTGATAGTTGGGGAAGTCTGCCACCACCTTCCCACCTTCCATCTTCACGGTAGCCTGGGAGAGAGAGCATTGACTATGAAGCCTCTATTCACAGCCTAATGATTCTTTCTTGGCATCACTCGGGTCATTTTAAAACTAACACATGTAGGGCTGTCTCAGTTGGCAACTTCAGTTGCCTGCCATGCCGAAGGGTCTCAGAAACAAAGGGAGGGGAAGAGGTATCTGGGGAGATTGCTCAGTGGGTAAAGTGGCTGGAGTTTGGCTCCCCAGCACCAGCAGCACAAAAAAAAGCTGGTCCTGGCAGAGTATGCCTGTAACGCTACCCCATACTACATTACCCTCACTGGGGACAGAGACAGGCAAATCCCAAAGGCCCACTGTCTAGCTAGTCTAGCAGAAAGAGAAAGCGACAGGTTCAGTGAGAGATCCTGCCTGGGAAAGTAAGCTAGAGAGTGATAAAGAAGAGAGAAGCCTGATCTCAAATTCTGGTTTACACATGCCCAGATAAGTGTACATTCACATGTGTACACACTATAGATTGATGATGATGAAGACAGGTGATAGATATATGATTGAGAGATGATTTATAGATAGATGATAGATAAATAGAGAAAGATATGATAGATGACTAGGTAGATTATGGATAGCCAGCCAGAGAGCAACTATTCATTTCTGAGATGAAGTATGTTAAATGCTCAGCAAATATTAGCTGTTTGTTTGTTTGTTTGTTTGTTTGTTTGTTTCTTGAGACAGGGTTTCTCTCTGTAGCCCTGACTGTCCCAGAACTCACTATGTAGACCAGGTTGGCCTGGAACTCACAGAGATCCACCTGCCTCTGCCTCCCAAACTGTGGGACTAATGACCACCATGCCCAGGACACGAGTTATTTATATTAATCTCAGCATTGTGTTGCTTGCTGATGGCAGCCATTACCCAGCAGAAAGATTAAATTACCAAGTAAGAAGGCTCTTCATGCTGAAGGCTCCTCCTGGGGAGCAGAGGGATCATATCTGAAATCGAGAAGCTGGCCTTTGGCCTGGGGAGGCAGGGAAGGGCAGCTGGGGTCTCTCACCTTGAACTTCTTTCCTCCCATGGTCTGTATTTCACATTCTTTGCCAATGGTGAACTTGTTGGTCATGGTGTTGCCCCCAGAGTAATACTGGGTCCAGGTGAAGTCCTGCCCATCCTGCTGTACCTCGGTGATGATCTTGAAGCCATGCCACTTGGCAATCACATCTGCAGGAAGACCTGAGCCCAATGACAAGCAGAGAGACTATGTAAGATCTACTTACGAGCCTGTGATTTCGGGAGGGAGATTTCCTCCCCAGAGGCAGGCTCATCTGTAGGTGTGAACACGATGTCTGAAACAACAGTGTATGCTTCAGATCCCAGCTCTGCCATGAGACCAGAGGCTTGAGCAGGACACCATCTCACTGTGTTTTCATTCACAAAATGGTGACAGTGCGCTCCAACTCTTAGAGCTGTTGTGAAGATTAAATTCAACACAGTTGTATCTCTCACAGCTCCTCACAACTACTTGGTGCTCTTCAGTAAGAGCAAATCTTCAGCAAATTGTGGGGGCTGAAGATATGGCTCAGCAGTTAAAAGCACTCGTGGCAGAGGACCCTCCCCAGCACCCAGATGGCTCCCCACAACTATCTGTGACACTGTGATATACAGAAATACATAGCAGCAAAAACGGTCATATAAGTAAAACAATCCTAATTTTATAATAATAATAATAATAATAATAACAGAAAATCTTCCTATAGTAATATACCAATATAGCTAAAATTTGCCAGCCCAGAAAGTTTTGTAATAGATACAACCTTCAAGATTGAGTCTTCTAATATTTCTATACTACAGATGAGAAAAACCAAGACCTGCAGCTGGAAAGAGGGCTCAAGAGTTAAGGACACTTAGTGCTCTTGCAGAGCATCAGGGTTCCATTCCCAGCACACATGTGGCTGTTTAAAACCACCTGTAACTCAAGTCACAATGAATCTGGTGCCCTTTTCTGTCCAGGCACTTACATACATACAAGGCAAAACTCTAACACACATAAAATGACAATAAATAAATCTTACAAAACACACAAACACACACACACAAGAAATAAAGACTCAGAAGAAATAGGAGCCTGTCCACAAGGCCTTGGAGAATGGGGTCAGGGGCTCTGTTCTCAGGACAACTCTGACACAACAGATGTGACCACAAAAGGAAGGCCCACAGCCGCCCTTCCTCTGTTTTTGTTGTTGTTTTTGTTTTGTTTTGGACAGTCTCCTGTGCCCTGGGATGAGGATAATCTTGACTTCTGAGCTTCCTTCCTCTGCCTCCCAATTGCTGGGATTGTAGGCTAATACTACAAAGCCTGGATTACACAGTGCTGGTGATTTAATCAGGGCTTCCTGCATGCTAGGCAAGCCCTCTACCAGCTGAGCTCGATCTGATCCTTGAGAATTGCATGGCCTCAATGCTAGTGCACTGAAATTTTGATAGGATGTCAAATCTACTTTCTCTTTGAAACTACAACTGACCAGTGTCAAAGATCAACTCGCAACGGTCCATTGTCAAAGGACAAGCAAATGCAGTAAATAACAACAACAACAACTGGTCTCTCTACCCAAAAGAATACTGTAAGGGAAGAAAGATTGTTGATTGACTATGTGGATTATCTTGTTGAACCTGGTTCCTATATTAACTCTTTGGTCATCTCTCCCTGGCAGAATACAGTGACACCACTCATGACAGGGTCCTGGGTGTTAATGACCCCTGTCACTGACTTAGGTAAATCATGCTGAGGTGCCAGATCACGAATATTGGGTCAGCAGGCTGGAGAGATGGCTCAGCCATTGAAGGCCAAGTTCTCAACCAAAATATTCCAACAGCCTTCACATGTAGCACATGTTGAATGAATTTGAGTAGGACTAGGGATGTGGCTCAGTTGATGCAATGCGTGCCTAACATGTGTGAAACCTCAGGGTTGGTCCCTAGCACAACATAAAACATAAAACAAGGAATACACGTGACTGTAATCCCAGCACTCGGAAAGAGAGGCAAAGGGATCAGAATTTCAAAGTCACCCTCAGCTACACAGTGATTTTGAGGCCAGGTTAGGCTACATGAGACCCTGCTTCTAACAACAACAACAACAAATATTTCAGTGAATGAATATCAAATCTGCTTTTCATCAGTTGCTATGCTATGTGACCTTGGAATGCTGATGCAACTTGTTTGAGCCTCGCACTTTCCATAGGTGAGGTAGAGATACTAAGTCTTTTAAAATCAAAAGATGTCTTACAGCTTTGATCATTCTTAGAGACCCAACAGTGTTTACTCAGCAAAAGGATGGATGGATGGATGGATGGATGGATGGATGGATGGATGGATGGATGGATGGAATTTTATCCCATTGTACCCCAAGAGTTTGGGTTTCTAACCCAGAGCTAGTTATAAGCAGCCATACCCAGAGAAGGACACAAAGGAACTCACTTACCCAGGTGCTTCATGAACTCGTCATAATTCTTCTCACTCTCAAATTCAAATTTGCCAGTGAAGGCCATAATGCTGGGAGAGAGCTGGCAGCAGTGAGCAGCAAGCTACAAGCTGAGGAAGAAGGTTCGTACTGAGGAGTCTGGAGTCCCTGCTTATAAATGCTCCCAACTGCCAAGGCTCAGCCCCAAAATCACCCCACTTCTCAGTCCTGCCCCAACCGGGAGGTGTTTGATGTTTTATGGTGTGGGCAGGAGCCCCAAGGTTATTCACCCTGGGAAACAACCTACAATCCCACTACCAGTTTCAGCAAGGGCCAGAGAGGCCACAGAGTGTGGTTGTTCACCTTTCTGCCCATCCTGTCCTCCGTTCATCCCTGCCCTGCTGTGCTCTGCCCTTTCCCCAGGCTCTCCTCATCCTTCCTTCATTTGTTCTCTCTTTCATCCACAAGCACTGTACACTGGACTGTATGTGGTGGTCCAGAAGAATGAGGCATGAGCCATCCCAGGGCCAAGGCAAACATGTGCAGTGTGTGAGCCGGATGTGACGATATGTGCCACTTTACACATGGGGCTCCAGGCTTTGGGGTGACAGCTGCCAGCTTTGCTTGGGGTGAGGGGCTGCTAGGCAGCACAAGGTAGCTATACAGAGCCATCTACAAAGGCTCTCAGCAGCTTCTTCATCACTACTGCTGTCAGTTACACAGTCTCGGCTGGACGCTGTGGCTCACATCTGTGGCCTCCCAGTACTTGGGAGGCTGAGGCAGGAGGATTGCCATAAGGCCAAGGACAGCATGGGCTACAAAGGAAGATCCTGTTTCAGAAACAAACAAAAGCTCTCCTTTTCTGGGGTTTCCCAGAAAAGCTCCCAGGAGAACTGACCACAGTTGCTGACTCCCAAACCTGGGACCAAGTGGTTTTACTTTCTGCCTGTCTGTCTCTCTTTGTCTCTGTCTGTCTGTCTCTCTCACTCCCTCTCTCTTTCTTTCTTTTTTTAATTTTTTCCCTCTCTCTTTCTATCTTGTGTGTGTGTTCACACATGTGTGATGGTGTGTGTGTAAGTCAGAAAACAAATTTCAGAAATTCATGCCAAGCCAGACAGCAAGACCTTTCTCTGTTGAGCCATCTCACTGACCCTCAGTACTTTCTGAACCAATAAAAAGTCAGCTTTGCCACACACACTTCACCAGTCTTCCATCTCTAATCCTAGAATTCCTTATCCCAACCAAGAGTTTTACGTTTTTCTTTTCTTTTTTTCCTAATTTTCTTTTCTTTTCTCTTGTTTTATTTTATTTTGTTTTCTCTTGTTTTTTTGTTTGTTTTGTTTTGTTTTGTTTTGAGATAGAGTTTCAAGTAGCCCAGATAGGCCTGGAACTCCCTGTGCAGTCCAGGATGACCTTACTCTCCTGATCCTCCTTCCTTACCCTCCCCACACCAATATGTTTGGTGTTGATATCATTTTAGGTAGCTCAGTGGTGGAGAGCTTGCCTAGCATGGGCATGGTCTTGGGTTCTACCCCAAGCACCACAATCAATCAATCAATCAATCAATGACATTCTATTCTATGTATAATTTCTTTTCTGTGTGGGTCTTTGGGTTGCTTCTAATCATTTTTATCATAATTAAGTAATTACTGTTCATACCTCTGGCTGTGTATATATCAGATGATTATCTAGGACTAGCTGCTGAGGTTGTATGCCTAAGCAGGAAAGGGGCACATTGGACTTGGAGAGGTGGGGGAGATTCCAAGGGAGAGCATAGGAACATCATAAAAGGGACAAATACTGGGAGTAAAGGGTCCAGTGGGGAAGAGGTCAAAAGGGATGAGGAGAGAGTTGAGGGGAAGGCGGGATGAACCAAGCAAACTGAGATACATATGAAAGCTTGATGTGTTGTTTCAAAATCCCTGTTGTTTTGTACAAAAAATAAAAAATAAAAATAAAAAGACAGATTACTAAGCATAATATTCCTGAAACAAATGGGTCTGAGACAGGGACTCATTATGTAGACCAGGCTGGTCTTGAACTCACAAAGATCTGCCTGCCTCTGACTCCCAGGGCTGGAATTAAAGGTGTACACCACCACACCACCCAAAAGAGGATCTTATATTTAAAGTATTAATATCCAGAAGAACACTGTGGTCCATGCCTGTAGTCTTAGAACTTTGGAGACTGAGGTGAGGCAGGAGGATTATCCAGAACTCCAGGGTAGCTGGTGCTATAGAGTGAGACAATGTCTTAAAAATAATAATTGATTAAGATAAGAAATAATGAAATTGGGCCAGCAAGATGGTTCATTTAGGTTAAGGCAGTCACCACCAAGTCCAATGGCCTTGGTTCAATCCCCAGGACCCACATGATAGAAGGGGAAAACTAACTTCAGCAAAGTTGCCCTTTTATACACATGTGCTGTGTGTGGCATGTATGCACACACACACACACACACACACACACAAACACACACAAAATAAATACAAGGCAGTAATTTTTAAAAGAAATTATAAAGTATTTATAGCTATCACTGCCATTCAGAAACGCTACAGGGGTTTGCATTCTCTCCCATAGCCATGTGAGAATTTTCCCTACAGAATAGTAATGTTGATGAAATAATAATGACAGTAATAGCTTACAGGTATTGGGCATTTATCACTGATCCCGCTGACTTTCAAAACAGGTATGTGAAGTAGCAAACAGGAGGTCAGAACAATGGTGCCAGAAGACATGGGTGAGAAACTCGACAGGATGGACCCATGGCCTCCCTAGCCCCTACTTAGCTCCCTTCCCACCTCCTTCCAAATGGGGATCATTGGCTTCTCCAAGGCTGCTGCTCAGCCATCAAGGACAGAAAGGGAGTGGTAAGGTGTGGACTGAACAATGCTGGCACCCAGGCACCTGACTCAGCTGCACCCTCTTCCTGTGGTGTATTTGACCCACCACCCTCCAATCCAATCACCCCCATATCTGTCTTCTTATTCTGGGGTTCATCTGTTTGAACATTCAGTGTCCAAGGAAGGGTAAACGAACTCCAATCCAACTGCAGGTTTTATGGGGCCATTGAACCCGTGGCACAAATATATTCCAATGGAGATAAGAATGATCCCAAGGCTACTCACTCCTTTTGGGCACCCCTACTCATGGCTTGGACTTTGGATGTGTCTCAAACAGGCACCACTACCCTGACAGGAATATGGAGTAGGACCTGGGAGCTTGGGTCCCTGGTCAAACGGGAAAACCTGGGGCATTCAGGCCCTCACGTGGACATGGGAACCTTATCGGTCAGTTAACTCACTCACTTTCCTGAGCCCCAGGTTATGTGTGAGGAAAGTGTGATCCGGCAGATAGGATCTAGCCTGGCAGCTATCCTACTCCCCACTCCCTCTCTAGCCCTTGACCTCTAGTTTACTTCCTTCGATGTCCAGCTCTTGGACATACCACTTCCTCCTTCAAGATTCTCCTTTTCTTTATTTCTGGAACTCGGTCTCGGGAAGGATTACTCAGGTAGTCTAGGCTAGCCTCAACCTCATTATGTAGCTGAAGATGACCTTAAATTTCTGCTTCTGTCTCCACCTCTCCAGTTCTGGGGTTACGATCATGAGCCACAACACTCAAACCGAGGCCGGGGACTGAACCCGGGGCTTCCTGAGCACAAAACAACAAGCATTCTACCAGAAGAACTACATCCTGGCCCAAGAAGCTCAGTTGGGCTTTGAACAAGCTCAACTGTCTTCACTTTTAGTACTGAGTTGACCCCACTCTTGTGGCTCTTGTAACAGTGTTTTTATTGGGCTGGAAAGATGGCTCAGCTGTTAAAGACTAGGCTCACAACCAAAAGTATAAAATGTTTTCCTTTGTTCTTTGTGGGTTGTGTTCTCTCCCTCCCCCAGCTCCTCCTAGATTGTCCCCTATTTTCCTGCTCACCCAAATTCATGTTCTTTCTCTCTCTCAAAACAAAAGAAAAACACACCCCAAAAATAACAACAAAGCCATGGAGGCCATTTTGTGTTGCTAACTACTCCTGGGCAGGGGGCTTGTCCTGGACTGTAGTTGATACACTCAGTTTCACTCTATTGAAGAAAACTAATTTTTTCCTCTCCTAGAATCTATCAATTACAAACAGCCTCTTGGTTAAGGGTGGAACTTTATGCTCACTTCTCCTCCTCTAGGCTGGGATTTTTGTCTGGCTTGAGCTCGCACAGCTCTTGCACATGCTGTCCCAAGTCGCTGGGATTTCATGTGTGCACCAGGCCTGTTGTGTCTGGAAAACGTTTTTCCTTGAAGACCTCCGCTGCCTCTGCCTCTAAACCATCTTTGCACAGTCTCTCCTGCATAGATCCCTGACAGGCTCACACTTTAAATGCCCAGTCTGCAACTTGTGGCGTAATTTTAAAGGCTTTTGAATCTTAGGTGCATGGAATCAGGATGGAGAAAGTAAGAAGGCCACTGAGGAAAGGCGATGCTCACTCCTTCGTCTGTGTCCTGGTCAGCTCCCTGTGAGCAGCTGCGGTCACAGACTCCTGTCACAGCAGAATGAGCCACTCCCATCTCCACATTCTTTCATCTATGATGGACTGAGACCCTCTGAAACCGTGAGACAAAATAACTCTATTCTAAGTTGTTTCTCTCTTGTATTTTGATGAGGAAAAAAAAAAAAGAAAAAAAAAAACATTGATGAGAAAAATAACTAACACTCTAGGCTGGATTCAAACTCATGATCTTCCTGCCTCAGCCATTTTGGTGCTGGGATTACAGACCTCTGTCACCACACCCGGTGTTTATTATTGTTGTGTTTTATTGTGAGACAGGATCTCACTATGTGGTCTCGGCTGGCTTTGAACTCAAAACCCTCTAGTTGCCTCAGCATTCTGGGTACTAGGATTGTAGGAATGCACCAGCACACTGTTCTTAATAGTTACATTGCCATCCACTGTGTGGTTAGATCACAGTCTATTCAACCAGAGTCCTAGTGTTGGGCAGTTAGGCTACGGAAAGGGAACGCATAAATAAGAACAAGGAAAGTGTTACTGAGGACCAGGTTCTGACACGAACAGTATTATTTGAGGTATGCGGGGTTGGGCTGAACTGTTGTGGAAATACTAATATTTAATATTGATTCATGTAACTATTAAGGTGGCAGTTATTCCTTAACCTGCTGTTATATGGATAAAAGACACAGAAACCTGTTAGATTCTTGACAAGCCTTAACGCACTGGGGCTGGGCAGATAGTAACACTCTAAGCTGTCTTGTCTACTTACCAGCCAAAATACTGGCACACGTTTTCCATTCGGGCTGCTTCTCTCTACCATGCCAGTCCTCAAGAGCAAGCTCCTCCCAGCCATATGCTTCTAGTTCACGCTAACCCATAGCTACCTCCTCCTCCCTCCTCCTCCTCCTCCTCCTCCTCCTCCTCCTCCTCCTCCTCCTCCTTCTCCTCCTCTTTCCTCATGGTCCTTCTGCCACCCGCAAGCCCGAGAACCTTCGTTCCACCTACCTCTTTTCTGCCCAGACCAGGCTGCAGGCAAGTTTATTAGCCAATCAGGGATCATTTGGGAGGCAGAGATCACACAAAGCCATTTTGGATACGTGAGAATTTGCTTGTAGGACAGTAAAGATCTGGGAGGGGGAGAGGGGCAAGCAATTAACATTTGAATACACAGTGGCTCCAGATCAACCCCAAACACTGAACTTCCACTGGATGTTCAAGTTATAAGTATGGGGCTAGTTATGTGTAGTGCAGGGGTAGAGTGTAAGGATGTATGGCATGGCGGCAGCCCTGTGTCTGAATCCCTAACACTGTACCAAAAATAAAAAATAAAAAAGAGTATGCTTTCTACTGAATTCACATCACATCTGTCCCAAAGTTGGAAGTTAAGCTGTTATAAGCCAGTGGCTGCCTAACTTAACAAGTATTAGCTAAAAAGAAAATATGGAGCCAGAAGTGGTGACCCATGCCTGTAAACCCAGCACTCAGGAAGCAGAGGCAGGTGGATCTCCTCTGTGAGGCCAGCCTGGTCTACGTATTGAGTTACAGAACACTCAGAGCTACAAAGTGAGAGCCTTTCTAAAAACAAAAGAAGGAAAGAAAAGAGTAAAAGAGGTTAGGGAGACAGCTCAGTTGGCAGGCAGACCCCCAGCATCGTATCAACTAGATCCTGAACTCACGCCTGTGATGCCAGCCCTCTGGAAGGAAGAGGCAGGAAGATCAGAAGTCCAAGTTCATCTTTGGCTACATAGCAAACTAGAGGTCAGTCTAGGCTACCCTGTCTTCAAAATACACCAACGGAGAAAGCACAGTTGGCCCAGTTAGAAATGTGGGGGTTGGTGTGGGGGGAGCCTTGACTGATAGCTCCATGAAGAGTCACAGGCTGCAGGATCTTCAGCGATCAGCTCTTTGAGGAACATGGTAGGATTCCGTTGGAAGAGAGCCGATTGATACTAGGCAGGCCAGAAGATGAGAGCCTGCTGTGACCTCCCAGCTCATCAGCACTGTGGGGCAATCACCAGAGAAGACAGCTCAGATACAGGTTTAAGCCAATAGAAAGTCTTTATAAGTCTTGACTAGCTGGCTAGCCACTACACTGGTGTTCAGAATCCCTGTATAGTTCCATGCCTTTCTCAGGATGAACTTTTTAAAAAATATTTTCCTATCTATTTAATTATTGATATTTATGTACATTGGTGTTTTGCCTGTATGTATATCTGAGTGAGGGTGTTGAATCTTCTGGAACTGGAGTTATAGTTAGTGAGCTGCCTGGTGGGCTCATGGGAATTGAACCTAGGTCCTCTGGAAGAACAGCCAGTGCTCGTAACCACTGAACTCTCTCTCCAGCCCTCAGGGTGAACTTTTCAGAACACACACACACACACACACACACACACACACAGACAAACAAACAAACAAAAAACATATCTTGAAGAGTTGACATACTTCAGTTAACAAGAGCACTTAGACAGAAGGGGAACTACAAAAGCCAGAAGGCAAAGTTAGTACTTTTCCCAGAACTATGACAGATTGTTTTCATTTGGACTGGTAGGTACTGTCTATGTGCTGAGTTTTATGGCCTGAATGGCACTTCCATCTTGGAGTCGGTTTTGTTAAGTTTGAGAGAAGGTGGCTTAACTCTGTGTCTGCAGATCCTATGCTAGACGAGGCTACAACCAGGAGGAGAAGGAAGAGCGGAGGCAGGTCCAACAATATCCAAGTAACCTCACCTCCAGACTTAAACCTGAAACAGTCTATGACTCTTTGGGCCAAAGTCAGATGCCAAAAGATCTTCCCATTCTGCATGCAATTATCCATCACCCACTTTACTGCCGCTGGCTAACCATGATTAATTCCTGTGGCAGCCACAGGAATCATGCCTAATGAATTTCTAATGAACTCATTTGGTGTTAACGCAATGTGTAATTCTGCAGGACACTCATTAGGACTTAGCCTTATTAAGCCTCTAGTTATTGGGAACTACTATTGCTTTAAGCTCAGAAGCAAAGAAAAGTAATTATGTAGAGCGGGCAGCTAAATTAAGGATTGGACATATGGATAATGCCAAGAAGGGGCCTGGCCACTCCTATTTTTCTCTTTCCTTGCGGCTCCTGAAGGTCAAACTGTTTTAAAGTCATTCAGAGGGCCCTGTCGCCTGGAAGACACCCTGCCTCCCTGTCCACTGTTTATCACCTGAGAGAGCTCAGGAGGCATGGGGTAGTCCAGATTTAGGCATGGTGGTACATGCCCGTAATCCTAGCAGCTTAGAAAAAGGCGGTGCACAGTCCACAGAGCAGCCAGTGATAGCTTATCTCATCTGATCGTCAGTGCATTCTACTTGCTATCATTAAACCCCTTTGACAGATAAGGAGGTTGAGGTTCACAGAGGCGAGGCGACTGTGTTCCAGAACTCATACCCCTGGATTGTCTTTCCGTCTTTCTTCTTGTTTCTTGCCAACTATCATTTTCATGTGTGTATGACTCATACTTCCATATTAGAGGTTGGAGCCCTTTCTAATAGTTTATTCATATGTTTTTCTTATATAGCATTCTATTTTTCTCCTGCTATAACAAAATACCAGAAGCTAGGTAACTTAAAAAAAAAAAAAAGAAATCTACTTTGCTCATAATTTTGGATATGAAACTTCAAAAGGCATACCAATTCTTGCAAGGCCTCCCTGACTATATTGTTATGGTTAATAGCTTGGGAGTACTTATGAGAGAGAGACAGCCCTCACATGGTATAATGTAATCCACATTTAGGCATGGTTATACATGCCTGTAATCTCAGTACTTGGAAAGCTAAAACAGGAGGATTGCCAGGAGTTTTAGGCGGCTCTGGACTACATAATAGTACCTATTTCTGAGGACTGGTTTTTGATAGCTCACTTGATAGAGTGCTCGCCCAACATACAGTAAAGCCCAGACTGAATGGTGACACATCCCTAAAGTGTGAGCACTGGAAAGGTGCAGGCAGGAGGACCATGAGTTCTAGGTCAACCTTGACTACAAAAGGCCAGCCTAGAATATATGACACCTATCTCAGAAGCAAACAAGCAAGTAAAAGAGGCTTAAAACAGCATTAAAAAAACAATCATTTCCCAGCCTGTCCAGGTGGTACATGCCTGTAATCTGAGAACTCAGGGAAGCAGAAGCAGGCAGATCACTGTGAGGTCAAGGCCAGCCTGGTCAACAAAGCAAGACGAGGACAGCCAAGGCTACACAGAGAAACCATGTTTCAAAAAAACAAAACCAGAAAGAAAGAGAAAGAAAGAAAGAAAGAAAGAAAGAAAGAAAGAAAGAAAGAAAGAAAGAAAGAAAGAGAAAAAAAAGAAAAGAAAGGAAAAGAAAAGAAAAGAAAAGAAAAGAAAAGAAAAGAATTTCCCATGATTCTGTAGGTCAAGAATTTGATGAGTATAGTTGAATGGTGAAGTGTACCGCATGGGTTTGATGGCCAGCACCTGGGCTGGGTTTACTCGGGTGTCCAGCTTAGGTGCTCCTCAGTATAGCTCCCTCCTCTCTTTCTGTGACTAGCTTGGGCTTCCCCCCAACATGTCAGCCTCAGGCTAGCCTCGGGCTCCCTCCCAGTCTTCAAGCACGGGTGCAGAAACATCAGAGCATTGTCTCAACCACAGATACTCAAGAGGAGGGTAATAGATTTTCTCCTTGACAGATGCTGGGGAAGATATAAGACTCGTTGTACCATGAGGGAAAAAAAAAAAAAAATACATGCAAGCTTGGTAGGGGAAGTTCATAGGGCTGACCCTCATTACCAGAGTCTTTCTTGGCTAGGATCTCAAGGAGGAACCTTAGATGATGTAACCAACCAATTGCTACTGGGATCTTGTCCTTCACTGAGAGGCCTTGGGTCCTCAGCCAAGAGGAAGACCCTGCCCTTCCCACACCCATCAAAACCTCCATGCCAGCAGTAAAGCAGACATCCACATCTCTTTCATTCCCTACCAATCTTCCAGGCCTAGCAGCCAGTGGGAAAGCTTTGCCCTGTCACTCCCTCACCCTCTCACGGTGCTGTAAAACTCCCGAAAGCTTCTTGCTTCTCAGAGCAGGAAGCCAGAGCTCAAGGCTGCTAGCAGGGTGAGGCCTCCTGCCTAGGGAAGGCTTCTCCTTCACTCACCACAGTGTGTTCTGGAATAAGGAAACGGAAACACAGCCATACCAGGTGTGGTCTGGCAGGCTTGTAATCCAGGAGGTTGAGCACAAGGATCTTAGGTTTGAAGCCAGTTTGGTTTACAGAATGAGACCCTGTCTAAAGTTGGGAAGGAGAAGCCAAAAAGGAGAAGCCAAAAAGCACTTGCCACCAAGCCTGATGACCTGAGTTCAAGCCCCAGGATTGACATAGTGGAAGGAGAGAACAGACTTCCACAAGTTGTCCTATGACCTCTTGCATACAGAGAGAGAGAGAGAGAGAGAGAGAGAGAGAGAGAGAAATTTTTGATTTTGTTTTTTTTTTGTTTTTGTGGGGTTTTTTAAAACAGGGTTTCCTGTGTAGCCTTGACTGTCCTGGAACTCACTTTGTAGACCAGGCTGGCCTCAAACTCACAGAGTTCCGCCTTTGCATATAAAATTGAAAAAAGTTAATTTAAAAAAAATTGTCAAAAAAAATTTAATTTAAAAAAAATTAAGAGGGAGGAAGAGAGACGGTTCAGCAGTTAAAATGACTTGCTCTTGCAGAGAGCTCAGGTTCACTTCCCCCCAGCACCCACATGGTGGCTCACAATCAACTGTAACTCCAGTTTTAGGTGACCCAATGCCCTCTTGTGACCTTCTTGGGCCCCAAGCACACGTGATGCACATGCCTACAGGCAGAGGCAAAGCATTCGTACATGAAATTAAAATGAATAAGTTTAATTTTTTAAAAGTGCAAATTAGTAGAGGATGGGGAGGAAGAGAAAGGAGAGAGTGGGAGAGGAGAGAGGAAAAGAAGGAAAAAGAAAGCCAGGCATGGGTATGATGGTACATGCTTGTAATCATAGAACTTGGGAGGCTGAGGCAGGAGAATCACCCTAAGTTCAAGGTCATCACAGGCTACACAATGAGTTCTTTGTTGTTGTTGTTGTTGTGTTTGTTTTTAGATTTATTTATTTATTTTGCATAGATGTGTGCTCTATCT